CAATGTGGGGCTTGAACTCACAACCCTGAGATTAAGGGTCATATGCTCTACCCACTGAGCTATCCTAGGTCCTGATGCTCTTGCCAGCTCATTCATGTAAACAACACATGGTTTGGTCCTAGGTCTGAACCTGGCCACTTACAGTTTTTAGTAGTGTCTGCTGTGTACATAGACTATAAATGTTAAAGGAGTAAACCTTGGTCTTCCTAAAATTCTAATATAAACTGTTGATAAGTAATGGTGGACAAACTTGCTGCTGAACATGCTAATAAAGGTGGTCTTGAAGTTCTCTGAATGTACAAAATCCAAAGCCCTAACTTATTTTACATTGCAATTTCTTAGGTTGACTATGTGATTAAGGAAGCAACTAATCTAGATAACTTGGCTCAGCTGTATGAAGGTTGGACAGCCTGGGTATGAACAGGAAGATAGCAGGTCAGTCTGGTTCAGCGAGGTCAGACATCCAGCAGAATCAACTCGGCCTCAGGCATCCATAGCAGCACCACAGTCGGTGGTGATGCCTTTCTGGGGCTTAATGTGAGGAAACCTAGGCAATCTCGGTGCACTGGGAAGTGAGTCCTGCAGAGTAGCTGCACTCAGGGATACGCTAAACACAATGGCCTGGAACCCCCAGGGTCAAGGGTGAAAGCTCACCGCCTGAACAACACGGCTGTCTTTCTGCTACAGAAGAACTGCAATCGTGTCGGGGGGAAACATAGCTGCAGAAAGGAAATTGGGAATGCTACATACCGCAGAGTGATTTGGAACCCAGTTCCACCTGACCCTGTGAACAATCCAGGAGAAACCGAAACCGAAAAAAGGGGGCCGTGAAGAAATCGCAGCAAAGGAAGATTTGAGAGATTGAGTTTCTTGAGTCGCTCTTGTTGCTTGGCAACAGTCCTGGTTGAGTTGACCAGTTTGTGCAAAAAATGAATAAATAAATGCTACATGAGAATGAACTTCAGAAATGGACTGAAAATGCAAAGAGCTGCATGTCAGCTGTGTTGGAAGAACCTCTTTGAGAAGAGAGAGCCTTTGTGTCTTTTTTTTTTTTAAGTTCTTTCCCACTTCTGGTTTATTCTTGTTCTTTAGATGTATTTCTAATATGTTTTTATTTCAATCCTTGTAATTTCACTGTTCAGTCAAATTAATCATTTCTTCTTTGTTTTTTGCAAACCAAATTTTCCAAAAGCACAGGGAACGCTGAACATTTAAGCAAATCTTTTGTGTTGGCTGATCAAACGCAAATGGTTGGAGTTTTGGTTCTTTTAAAGTGATTTTTTGTGATTCTATCATGTACAGTTTCCCCAAATTCACTGTGCATTTCAAAGTAATGAATCTAACAGGCATTTGGTTTTCATGTGCACCTCCCTCTGCTTGCAGTGTACACTCCTTTTTGTAGTTCAAACCTTTTCCTCCAAAACACATTCTACTGTGATTTTGCTGTAGTTTCTTTTGTAAACGTAGGTACTCCAATGTAATCTTTACCTTAAAAATGATTAGAATATCTAAGTACTCTTTTACATTGTTGATGACAGAAAATCAATAAAGTCAAGTTCTAGTGGAGGTAGTTTTATGCTGTTTGATTCATTTCAAATTTTGATTTACACTTGTAAATGTATAGTGTTTCAGTTCAATCTGGGAATTTAAAGATAGACATAAATACAAAGCTAAAGTCGACTATCTCTTTTTTTGTTCAAGCGAAATTGTATAAAGATTTGTGTGAAGTTACATTTCCATATGACTTCCAATAGGTGGTGTTCAGTTGTGAATTTCTCAGCAAGTTTTCCTAAACCTACCTTGCACTTTTGAACTATGGGTGTGACAAAAGTTGCTATTAAAACGGCACTTTAAATCAGTCTGTTTCCATATGTCCTCAGTGTTTTACTTGCCTGCTCACTAAAATCATTACCTTAGGAGCTTGTTTTAACTTTGCTTTAGGAAAGAACAGACTGCTTCTTAACTCAGTTATCACTAATCGGTGTCATGTTTTGATAGGCACCACTTGAATCTAAACTTCCAAATTGAACTTGTGGGGCTATGTGAACTTATTTAATTTGCTTTGAAAGCCGTTAAATGAGGACAAATCAAATGTTCCCATCACTTCCTCTTTAGTCTCTTAAGGATTTTAAAAACCTTTCCAACAGTTAATTTTTTTTAATTGATGCAGCCTATTTATCGGAGTTTGAGCTTTGGCCTTTGTTTTGAAGAGTTGCTATCAAATATATATTAAGGTCCAGCACAAGAAGCTAATTATTCCAGCGTTTTTATAATGTGGAAAAATTGTTTTGACTTCCTCAGAATATCTGATACAGAAGTGACTTGATACTGGTATCAGTCTTCCACATAGGCGCTAGCTATCTCCTTTTAATTACCTGCCCTAGACATGTCATGTGCACTGCCTACATATTTAACTAATGCTTGTGAGTAAATGCATTCCAACTCAGTACTCTGGAACTTCGCTCTTAGCATTGCAAGAGTGAGAGGTTTGCTTTTCAGTAAAATTCAGTTAAGGCAAAATCCAAGCATTTGGTGAGTGTACCTTTATTTTCCTTGTACGAAACATCCTTAATGAGCAGTCTGTATCCAAATACGAGTGGGATAAGATGGTAACATGTTTTTCTTTCCTTTGGGAACCAGGGGTCAGGGCAGGCTGCTGCGCTTGTGATTCATGTATTATTATACCACACTATCCAGAAATGTGTATGGAGACAGGGGTCTTTTCTGCATAATGTAATAAAGCTCAAAAATCTATTTGTATTCTTCATTCCCTGTGTGGCATTCTTTTCTTTACTGCAGTAACATTCAAAGTTATAGATCTCTAACTTGCAGTGTGCAGTGATCATGGTACCAAGCATGTGTAACCACTGCAATTGTGGGAAAGGTTACCACCTCTTTCACAGAGGGAATCAGCACAAGGAATACGGTAGATTTGAAAGCTGCAGCTAGTTGCCTGTCATGCATATAATCCACACAAATGTGTCTAAAGCAAAAGTTATGGTTGCACATTTAAGCAACCATTGTGCAACAACATCTGGAGGGCACCATGTATCGGCAGCAAATCACTGACAGCACAAAGTGGAAAAAATGAAGTGCATACCAAAGCAGGGCTTCCCATGGTTTGCTTTGACTGAAGCAGGCAGGGAATATATTTTAGTAGGTTGGTTCTGTGTATAATATATACTTTGATGCATTTCAAGCATGAGCTCTTCAAGGGGATGCACAGAGAATTAACACTGCAACATCCTGCAGAATCTAATTGGACGTTATAGTTCACATTGATTCATTGGACTTAGGAGTTCCTAACCACACAAAATTTGCTTCGTTCTGCTGCTCCCCCCCCCCCTCCAAATGGGAACATCAGAACCTGCCCCTTTTCGTCTTCAGCCTTCACTATATTTGAAACTTCAGTGAGTTATTCAGAAGAGTGTTGGAAGCTTTTGGGGGAGAAATGAGTTTAAAATCACCTTTGTTAGGATGCAGGTTTTTGCATTAGTTGGACTCCCAGATAAATGCACCTAGACTTTGCAGTCTGTCTCCTGCTGTTGTTCAAGCTTGCCCCTTTTATCCAGAAAATGTAGGGCTTTTGAATCAAACAAGTTGAATGTACTATATTATTCCTGGTCTTTTTTTCTTTTAAGTATGGCAATTCGGTTTACCAACATATAGTAGGTTACAGAAGTGGAGAAAGCATAGGTTTAGGATCAAACTAATACTCAACACAGAAACAAATGGTAGTATATAAAATATGTATATGAGAGAAAGAGAATTATATTATTATTATTATTATTATTATTATTATTATTATTATTATTATTATTATTAATACCCCGCCCATCTGGCTGGGCTTCCCCAGCCACTCTGGGCGGCTTCCAAAAAATATTAAAGTACTATAATACATCAAACATTAAAAGCTTCCCTAAACAGGGCTGCCTTCAGATGTCTTCTAAAAGTCTGGTAGTTGTTCTCTTTGACATCTGGTGGGAGGCCGTTCCACAGGGAGGGCGCCACTACTGAGAAGGCCCTCTGCCTGGTTCCCTGTAACTTGGCTTCTTGCAGCGAGGAAACCGCCAGAAGGCCCTCGGCAGTGGACCTGTGTCCGGGTAGAACGATGGGGGTGGAGATGCTCCTTCAGATATACTGGACCGAGGCCATTTAGGGCTTTAAAGGTCCACACCAACACTTTGAATTGTGCTCGGAAACGTACTGGGAATATTGTGGGAAAGCATTCTAGAGGCTCGCCACAATTGCAAGCACTGGATGGTTGCTACACCTTTCATCTGTGGGACCCTTCCCTCCCAGCTGTCACCTGGATCTCTCTCCATCACTTCCTTCTCTCTTTACCTGGAGAGGTAAAGACTACCAGTCCTTTCCAAATCCCTTCTCACTCTCCTCCGGTCACTTCCAAACTGCAAGCCTCGTTTGATTCATAAAGGTACTTCTTTTGGTTTGACTCATACAGGTACTTCCAGCTGGCCTGCTCCACCCACATTGCCTTGCTCAGCACCAACACCTCAGGCCCTGGCTCTGCTCGGACTTGGCAAACCCCTTGCTCAGCTGTGGAACTCACTGGGTGACCTCAGGCCAGTCACTGGTTCTTCGCCTAGCCTACCTCACAGGGTTGTTGTAAATAGGGAGAGGGAGAACCCACATAGGCCACCTTGAGCTCCTTTGAGGAAAAATAATAAATGTAATAAGTAATGCATAAAATAGACACTCATGGCAAAGACTCATTTATCCAGCTGGGAAAACCTGTGGGGACAACTCCCACAATACCCCCATAAGGGGCCAGTTTGCTTCTACTTAGAAAGGCGCTAAGGAGTCCTTCCCCACCCCCACCCCCCCACTCCGGAATCCCCCTCCAAAAACCCGTTAAACGGTTTCTGCTGCGGGACGTCAAAGGAACAACGCGACGTCTCTCCTCACGCGCCCGAAGTCATGACGAGCAGAAGGAGGGAGCTGATTGGTCCAAATTCAAAAGCTAACGGGCAGAGGGCGCTGGTTAGGGGAGTGAGATGGTCCTTATCCAATGGAAAGCGTCGGGGAAGCGGGATGGGCGGGGCCGCCGAGCTCATAAAAGGGGAAGGAGGGCGAGGCGGCGAAGGGTTCTTGCTCGCGAGGCCGACGGGGTTGCTTCGGGAGGGGGCGTGGCCTGGAAGGCTAGGCGGAGGAGGCGGGGCTTAACCCGTGACGGTTTGCGAGGGGTGGGAGAGAAGGTGTCTGCCGAAAGCAGCTGTCTGGGCCACACAAAATGGCGGAGGGCGACAATAGGAGCACCAACCAGCTGGTGGGTGAGCGCTGAGGCGAAGCACATTGGGTGGGTGGGTGGGTGGGGGGCGAGTTGAGGCCCTCACTTCCCTCAAGAAGTGGGAAGGAAGGAAGCGGGGGTGCTTCCTTGGGCTGTGTCCTGCGAGGAGCATCTGCGGAGGGGCGCTTGTTTTTACGCAGGAAGAGGGAGGGGCTGGCTCTTCTGTCTCCATGCACGTCTTGCGAGGCTGCCATAGCGGCCTCTTCACCCCCACTCCCAGCCCCGCCATTCCTATTCTGCGTTATTTTAAAGTGGGGGTGGGTGGGTGGGAGGTTTGCGCCATTTGTGCAACTCTTTCTTTGAGGGGTGGAGGTTGCGAAGTGCTTCATAGAGTAGAGGGGGCTGCAAGGGGCGAAGTGAGGAAACTTCGAAAGTGTAACAGGCACCCCAAAGAATCTTATGGCGCTCTTCAAGACTTAGGTTTACTGCAATGCAGGGGACTGGGCTGGATGACCCTCGGGCCCCTTCCGACGCCACAATTCTGCGATTCTAAGACCCGCAGATTTTTGATGGCAGAAGCTTTTGTGGACTGAAGGCTGCTTCGTCGGATGCACGAAGTGGTTGTTTGATGGTGTGTGTATGAATATCTTCTTTCACATACACGTTGTTACCTATCAGTATGTGCATATTTGTATTAACACTCACCTGTGTGTAAATAGATATGTGTGTGTGTGTTTATATATACACACACATACGGATGGATAATAACATTTTGTGCGTTTGATTAATGGGGTTTTAGCCTGTGAAGCTTCTGCCACCATAAGCCTTAAAGGTGCCCCAAGGTTGTTTGTGTGTTGGCTGTATGAAACTGTCCTTCTGGAACTTAAATAACACCCCACGGTCTAGTCATGTTTACTCAGAATGAAGGCCTGAGTAAATTGGGTTTATTCCAAGGTAAATATGTCACCTCAAATTTCGCCTTTTGAGAGCTGTGGAAGGATCCAAAATCAGGAGAGAACCCATTATATTTTGCTGATGCACAAGGTTTTAGAAGCTGGCAGAGGCAGCAGTAGTGTTTTGTAGGAACGTGGGATCAGAATTGCAGAGCTGAAAGGCAAAATAGCCTTCTTACAAATGGGTAGGGATGGAGGCTTTTCTTCTCACCAAATAATACATAAAAAAATATTCTAGGCAAGCCATCTTGAAAAAGATCAGGTTTCATTTTCCGGTTTCTCCAGTAGGACTCTGCTATGTCATCTTCCTTTGTAGTATTAGAGACACACCTGGCCAGCCTGCTTATGCTAATAGGAGCAGAAATAAGCAGGGTGCTTTGTTTAGGCTGTCAAAGGAGCTGCAGCGCTTCAGGGATAGGTGGTTGAAAGTCAGGTGCACAGCACTGAGCATTATGGTTGATGAACAGAGGAGCGCAGATACTGTGTGTGCCTTTTCTTTGAGTTTGAAATGCAGATCATTTGTATCCACGGTGTTATCTGCTACATTTTTCACTATGTCATATGCTTGGTATACCCTGCTTTTTGAGTTGAAGACAGTGCACTTGAGTCTCCCCCTGTTTTATAATGGCCCTATGCAGCCACTGAGGCTGTGTGCGCATAGATGGCCCAATATAACTTGAGTGAACTTGATGGGAAGGAGAGATTTTAACCCAGGCAGAACAACAGTTTAGTTTGTCTTGTGACTGAATCATTTCAAAGACATGAGTTAAGGGTATGTGTGTGTGTGATGGAATATTCACAGATCTAAGCTTCAAGGGAAGAGAGAAATGTTTAGAAACAAAATTTATTGGCTAGAACTCCCTATATCTTGCTGATCTAGAAGGCCATGTTAGGAAATGGACAGAAATTGAAGAACAGAAATTAGAATTCAAAATAAGGAAGCATTAAACATGCTGGACTAGGAGGAGTTTTATACAGTGTGTAGACCTCAGTGGCAGGTCTCTCTCTCCCCCCCCCCCCCTTCATGGTTCATTATGAAAGTTTCACCTATGTACTATTCACAAATCTTCAGTTTATGGTCCTGGGCTGAGACAGCAACCAGTACAAAACACAGCTGTGTAGGATGTCCAAAGTAACAGTTATTCAGAGTTAATTAAAATTTTGGTAAATCCAATTTTGCACACAGAACCTTGCATAACATTTAACACTGTTAGGATAATAAATAATGTAAAAACAGTTTAATTTCAAATATATATTGCTTGCAAAAAAAAAAAGGAATTAAATATTTTGTTTATATTGAGTTACTTTCTCATGCTGCCCAAGTTCAAGATCATAAGATTTGGGTTCTCCATAAGCCAGATAAATTTTATCCTAATATCCAAGCTGGAATCAGAACAAGTCTCAAAATAAGGTCCTGGAGCACAGTTTTCACAGAATGGTGCCATAACAATAAATGGCAGGTAGAATTTTGTTATGAAAAATCCTAACTACTGGATCTAGAGTTATCATTGTGGTTCTAGAAGAGGCTCCCGCTTGAGGAATGTGGGAAAGACAATTTCTGCCAATTTCCCCTTTCCCCTCTGACCTTAAGGAATCCCCAAATCTCTAGAGCAGCTTTTCATTGGCTGCAGGAGGAAGGAAGAATTGGTGTAAATTGCATCCACAACCCTTTTGCTCTAGCCAGAGCATCCTGTTCTGCTCATGGGAACTCTGGATTGAAGTTTCAGTATGTAGAAATATATCCTAGGAATATGGCACTGTTCTCCTAGTTGGGAGTAACCAGATATTTTGTTGCATGATAGACATAAAGCTTCAAATTAAAAGGACCAGTTAAGAAGATGCAGACATAAAAAACTGAGTTATATTCTGTAAAGCAAAGTAAGGATAAAGCTGTTATATTGTCTAACATAAGATAGCCTACATGTCCAATGAAGCATATGCATTGTGTAAGCATTTTTCTGCCTGGGGCAATTACATATGTTAAAATGCTTTTATTCACAGGCTGCAGAGACAGCTAGCTTGGAAGAGCAGTTGCAAGGATGGGGTGAAGTGATTCTGGTGACAGACAAAATCCTTCGTTGGGAAAAACCATGGTTTCCACCTGCTATGATTGCTGTAGTTTCCTTCATCTTTCTGTAAGTTATTGGAGAGAATGTTACAAAAAATAATAATGCTAAAGACAGTTAAGCTAGTAGTTACTTTCCTGAAATTCTCAGAACTGCTCTGCTGTATAAAAAGTACATGGGAAGTTTTATGCAGCTGGAAAAACAATGCTGCTATAAACAAACCAAATATATGTTCAAACTTGGGGGCATTCCTAGTCATTTTATTTCATAGAAGGGCCTATTAATTTGGAAATGATAGGGAAGAGCAACAACTTTTTATTCCTTCCAAACTTCCATTTTCTCTCTTCTTCCAACCTACTCTCCCATTGGTGATTATGCCATTGCAGAAACTAAATTCAGACATTATTTCTCAACCACTGGCTATGTTGGCTGGGGCTGATGGGAGTTGGGTACTTCAAAATAAAATTTGGAGGCTGCTTCTTCTCCACACCTCCTTTAATCACATTGTTAAATGTTTTGCCACTAGATAACAACATTTTTCTTGCCCCAACAGGATGATCTACTACTTGGACCCATCTGTTCTTTCAGGTGTTTCTTGCTTTGTTATGCTGCTTTGTTTGGCTGACTACCTTGTACCTGCTCTTGCTCCTAGAATTTTTGGCTCCAGTAAATGGTATGTTGTTTGACAGTCCCTTAAGTATAACATTTAGCAAGAATAGAATTGAACCGACATATATTCAGTGTTAACTATGTGCATCAGTCCTGAACAAAAATCCTTCTACCTAGTGTTCTGACATAACTAGTGTTGTTCTACTACCTAGAGCAGGCATAGGCAAACTCAGCCCTCCAGATGTTTTGGGACTACAATTCCCATCATCCCTGACCACCGGTCCTTTTAGCTAGGGATGATGAGAGTTGTAGTCCCAAAACATCTGGAGGACCGTTTGCCTATGCCTGACCTAGAGCAACAATATCTGTGTATACTAAAGGCTCGGTTGTCTCTTTTTTCTGTTTGATACCTTTGCTTGTATAATTATGTTTAGACTGCAAGGTCATTGAGGCAGGAACCTATCTTTTCCTCCTGTTCCCGCCCCCCTTATGTTACTCTCTACAGCACCATGCACATTGATAGTAGACTAAAAACAGAGCTGTAGCCTTTAAACAACTGGCTGTCATGGATTCTTGGGGTGTAAATATATATAAAGATGTTGCCATCTAACTGAAAGTTTTGAGACAGCTGAAGAACCTCTTTGCTGGAAATGGTGATTTGCTGAATAGGACACAGATTTGCAGCTAATGGTAAATTCTTCATAATATCTGGTCATTCAGAACACATGTCAACTGCAAATTAATGCAAGTTTTAGTCCATTAAAATATATATGATCTTCTCATTCTTGGATTTGTTGATCACCCTAACAGTGAATAGTTATAGTAGAGAATCAAAGAAATATATATTTTACATATATGAACGGGACATTAAAATGGCATCAAATTTTGAACTGGGTGGCGGGAGGTCGAGATGATAATGGTTGCTCATGTGCAGTTTCTAAAGTGGAGGCGAGACCATAATATCAAGAGTTTTGTTCAAAATAATTTCTTTAAAGGACTACTGAACAACAGCAGCGGTTCCATGAAATTTGTAGCAACCTGGTAAAAACACGGCGTGGAATTGTTGGTTGGTGGAAACGTCTTTTCACATTTAAGGAGGAAAAGCCTAAAATGGTAATATATGTGCTTCTCTGAAAATGTTTCATCCTTATTGCAAATTGGATGTTGCTTTATAAATCCATTCTGCCTTACATATACAAAAACAAATGCTTTTGGTGACTGGCATGTATATTTGTTTTTTAAATGAAAATCCCTTTTTCTTACCTAAAATGCTTTAGTAAGTGCACACACCATCTGATCAGAGCTTTTTATGGTATCTTGATTTGAGTATTTTACTCTCCCCCCCCTCCCCCACTTTTGTTTCAGGCACTTTTTGGTTATTTTTTGCTTCATAGTCTCTAGGACAGTTATTGTAGTGGTATGCAAATATATTCCTGTCTGCAATTTATAACATCGTCCTAATGCATCCAGCAAGCCAATAACAATATAAGCTAAGCTCCTAAAACCTACTTGCTTGAAATAAATTTCCACTGAAGTGAATGAGATATACTGCTAAGTGTGTTTGTTTGTTCACTCATTCAGAATCCATGCTAAATCAATAATGCTGCTTTTAATAGCAGCAGGGAAAGTACTTAGAGAGGTAACTATCATGCCTTCATAACTTACTTTTAAGGACTGCTACCATTCTTATTTCTCTTCTAGTACTTCATGACAATGCTCTGTTCCTTAGCTGTGATTGCTTGGATAGGACAGCAAGTTCATAACCTCTTCCTCACCTACCTTATTGGTAAGTGGTGCAGAATAATATATTGCTGTATTTTTCCACAGTAGAGAATGGGGGAGATATTTGTAGTTGGGATGCCTATAATGAAGCGATTGCAACATAAATTAGATGAGTTGGTATGGGGGGATGAATTTGCAAATGAACATAGTTGGTGATAACTTCTTCTTTACTCCCCTAGTGAGCTGCTTCTTGTTGTTTCCTGGGTTAAACAAGCACGGAATAATTTCAAAATATGCTGGAATGGCAAAAAGGGAGGTCAACAAACTCCTGAAGCAAAAGGAGAAGAAAAACGAATGAAACATTGCTTGCTAATTCACTCTATAGTATAATTGTGTTCTGGGAACAATTCAACGAATTATTGTGTGTTTAATAGTATAGAAGTGCTTATTTCAGTCATCGCTTTTTGATTTTAAATAAGGGCCCTTCTTACGCTGTTTAAACAGGAACTGTATGGTCCCTCAGTCACACACTAATAGTCTTCTAACACGGACAGTTATTCTTACAGTAAGTGTGACTAGCAACTTCAATACTGTAATAAGACTGATCAATAACAACTGGTGGTGGTGAACTGGGTAACATTTTCCATTCCTCTTGAGCATTTTAAGGACCCTCTGGACTGTCTAGATTTACTTCAAAATGCCCTCTAGATTAAATTGCTAAATGTACGATGTTGTAGGTGACAGGTGATTTGAATAAACAAAGCTCCTAAACTCTGAATCCCAGTTGTAGTTGTAGCTCTGCAATGCAACTTAATTGCACTGAAACTGAATGAAAAAACTTAAGTCAGGATGCACAGACAGTCAACTTCATTGCTTCTATTATTTAAATAGCTCTAGTTTTGGTGTTGTGAAACATGTCTGTAGTTTTTTAAAAATATGGTCTTATATAAAATCATGTTGAAAATACGTGATGCGTCTGTCTTGCCAACAAGTCTCTGGAGTTATTTGTGTTTTCTTAATGCTATTTTGTTTTTACTACACATTTCTTAAGTAAAAGTTTGTAACCTGTTAAAATGATAGGCATCTTAAATTTCCGTTTTACAGGCAAATTTCTGTCTTAATTGTAAATTGATGAACAGTGTTATCTTACGTTTGAAAATATAGACTTGAGAAATCTTGAAACTTTTTTGTTTCATTATTATCTTTTTTGACAAAATGAGATCTGCTGCTTACATTACTGCTTTACAGATGGTAGTTGCTTTTCATTCTAAGTTCCCAACATTTCAGTTTTCTCTGAAACACTGTAATTCAGTACACATTTTTTGTAAATGTGTCTCAAAAGGACAAAGTTTTTAAGTTGCTCTTGTGATATATTGCCTATAGTGAAGCCCGAAAGGCCATAACTGTGTTGGCAGCATTGGCAGCAAGGAATAGAAAGTCTTCTAACTAGAAGTAACACAAATATTATTTTTATCATCACTCTCTTACTAATTGGCTCGCAACAATAAAAAGCAGTCTTTCTCTCTTCACGCACATCTAACATTTTTGAAAGCCAGGGGTGGGATGTGGCTCATTTTTTACTGCCATACTAGTATGTAACATGGTGCAGATAACTTATCTGCATAAGGACACTAGGGTGGCGTTCAACACTTAAACATGCCTATGTTGGATCTCTTGTGACATGTGACTCTTAGTCAGGGCATTCTGTTTTTCCAAACAAATGGAAAACCATTTTCGGACTCATTAGAGCAACCTCACAAAATCTCTGCCTTAGGAGAAGATACAAAGCCTCTTCACTAAGGCTAGTGAAAAGAGAAATCCCTGAAGCAGGTTTTCTTCCGGAGGTGGAAGGAGCAACATTACCTATTACTGCTCCTTGGGTTGAAATATTTCGGTATGCCAACTTAGTTATCATTGTAGTAAGTATTTTCCCATTCATGGATACCATATTTGAAAATATACCTTCATTTTGGACATTAGCAGCAGCACACAAATCCTGAGAAAAATGAGAACTTACAGTTGCAAAATGAATTATATTTAGTCATTGGAAGTCTGTGATGGCAGTTCCTGTGTCCACTTATGGACACTAGCAACAACATGGTGAAATATAAAACTATTTTGGAATGATTTAGTGATAGCTTAAGTGACAGGAACTGGTTTCTTTCAAAAACATCACACTTTCCCATAAGTCCTACCCACTCCCCGATTTTGTGTATTTATTTTAGACAGGATAACTAAACCAACTTTACCTAGTTTGGGTAGGAGTGCAGTGTTTTACGTGAAGGGAAAGCAATGTTGTAATATGATTTACGAGGGAGCCATGTAGGGTGGGAAGGTAGAGAAAAGACTTGGAGGGAGGGGAAATAAGTTCCATGTACCAGCCTTTTTTTGGTTAATGTTGCTGCTTTACTTTTGATTGCGTTGATACGTAATGTAGATGGATAATAAATGTATTATCTAGAGAGCTAAAAGTTGAATAAAAATGTTAGTAGAAGGAAAAAATGGCAATTATTGAATGTGTATGTAAGGCCCCTGTCTGCTTTTCTCCATTCATCTAACCAGGAAAATAAAGTCATAGCAAAATTGGAACTAACTTATTGATGTCTTAAGACACATGTGGGCAGAATTCAGTTTTGAACTTTCAAACAGAGCCAGATGGAAAATAGTGGCTCAGGAATGCAGATGTAGAATAGCATAACAGCCTTCAGCACATACTCAGTTTAAATTTATTTTCCTTACCAGATCTAGAGCCCCCCCCCTTTTAAAGACAAATCTTCAGACTTCCCAGGCTTTCTTGTTTAAGAGGAGAAAAAGACTTTTGGTTGATGGTGATGCTCCTTTGCAAGCACAAACCGTTTATGAGCTAACTGCCAATCATCACCAGAGATCTACTAGTAGATTCTACTCTGACTACCATCTGACTACCCCTGCCTCAAAAGGCTGCTGCTGAGGCCTTTAGGTTCCCCTCAAGTTATCCTCCACTCTGTTGCATAATGTCATCCTTTCGGTGTTGGTAAAACTGTCTCTTTAGGAAATGCCTCATGCCTCAATCTTGTGAGGCTGAAAATATTTCCACATCTGCTTGAGACTTCCTTTTATCCCTTCCTAAGAAAGTGGTTTAAGGGACACGGGTGGCGCTGTGGGTAAAAGCCTCAGCACCTAGGGCTTGCCGATCGAAAGGTCGGCGGTTCGAATCCCCGTGGCGGGGTGCACTCCCGTTGTTCGGTCCCAGCGCCTGCCAACCTAGCAGTTCGAAAGCACTCCCGGGTGCAAGTAGATAAATAGGGACCGCTTACTAGCGGGAAGGTAAACGGCGTTTCCGTGTGCGGCTCTGGCTCGCCAGAGCAGCGATGTCACGCTGGCCACGTGACCCGGAAGTGTCTCCGGACAGCGCTGGCCCCCGGCCTCTTGAGTGAGATGGGCGCACAACCCTAGAGTCTGTCAAGACTGGCCCGTACGGGCAGGGGTACCTTTACCTTTTTAAGAAAGTGGTTTGGCATCTTCTGAGTATTTTCTTTGGTAACATCTATATAACATTATAGGGCCTAGCAAGCTGGGGAATCTCAGGCCAAGGGGCCAAATGCTATCTCCCTGGACTTTGAAACACCCCCCCAGCCACACCCTCTCCCCTGGCACTGCTTCACACCCCAATTATTTTTGCCTGTCTCAAATGTGTCACTGAACTTTCATAATTCCTCTTCCTTCTCTGGATGGAAGATGGAGAAAGATTTGTGAGTGCATAGAAACTACTGTACAAAGGTAAACTTAGGTTGTCGATTTTTGCAAGCCCCTCTTAGGAGACTTTGTGCCTAAAGGGCCACATATAAATGCTGTTAATAAATAATGTTAACATTTACATTTGTTCCTGTGCTCATTTCTGCCTTCAGAAGGTTGCCCAGAAAGGAATACAGCCCTCTGGCTGAGAAAGATTCCCCATGCTAGGCCTAACTGGAGACAGACAGAGGAGCTGCCTGGGTGGGGAACCCTTCATGCTTCTTAAATAAAGGACTGAGAACGTGTCACATTTTCCATTGGGGCGACTGCACTAGAATAATTGCAGAGCGCTTGCCAGAACCTGCCCTCACTTCTTGGGTGGCGGCAGTGGATTCTGCCACCTGAGGCGTTTGCTTCAGTTTGCTTCTGGATGGTACCAAAACTCGGGGCACAGCACCAGATCTGCCTCATTGCCCTCAAGAAGGCAACATGAATCATGTAAGAGGCAGGTTCAAATCATTGATGAAACTGGCCAGGCAACCTGGTCTCTGTTACCCTAGTCTAGCCCAGTTTTCTTCAACCTTAGGTCTCCAGACATCCTTGGACTACAACTCCCATCATCCCCAGCCAGCTTATCCAATAGTCAAGGCGGCGGGCATTGTACAGTGGTACCTCGCGTTACAGACGCTTCAGGTTAGACTCCGCTAACCCAGAAAGAGTAACTTGGGTTAAGAACTTTGCTTCGGGATGAGAACAGAAATCGCGTGGTGGCGGCACAGCGGCAGCGGGAGGCCCCATTAGCTAAAGTGGTGCTTTGGGTTAAGAACATTTTCAGGTTAAGAACGGACCTCCGGAACGAATTAAGTACTTAACCCGAGGTACCACTGTACTCCCATCAAAATAGAGTCCCATGGACTGCAAGAAGATCAAACGAATCCATTCTTAAGGAAATCAGCCCTGAGTGCTCACTGTAAGGACAGATCGTGAAGCTGAGGCTCCAATACTTTGGCCACCTCATGAGAAGAGAAGACTCCCTGGAGAAGACACTGATGTTGGGAAAGATGGAGGGCACAAGGAGAAGGGGGCGACAGAGGACGAGATGGTTGGACAGTGTTTTCGAGGTTACCAGCATGAGTTTGACCAAACTGCGGGAGGTAGTAGAGGACAGAGGTGCCTGGCATGCTTTGGTCCATGGGGTCACGAAGAGTCGGACACGACTAAACGACTAAACAACAACAACCTCGGGTTACAGATGCTTCAGGTTACAGATGCTTCAGGCTACAGACTCCGCTAACCCAGAAATAGTACCTCGGGTTAAGAACTTTGCTTCAGGATGAGAACAGAAATTGTACGGTGGCAGCAGGAGTCCCCATTAGCTAAAGTGGTACCTCAGGTTAAGAACAATTTCACGTTAAGAACGGACTTCCGGAACGAATTAAGTTCTTAACCCGAGGTACCACTGTACCTGAGGATCCCAAGGTTGGAGGACTCTGCCCTAGCCTATCTCACTTAAGGTGGCTGTGAGAGTAAAATGGAGGATAGGTGTGTGTGGCCTGGAGGAAACGGGATAAAACGTGTAGTGCATATACAGTAGAATGAATTGATGCGACGGAGTCCTGCCGCGCAGTGACAGAAACAGGCTGAGCACCTACAAAACCGTCGCCTGGCCCCGCCCCTTTTCCGGAAGCGTTCTTGGTTGCTACTGGATACCAAAACCGAAAGGGCGGCTGGGAGTCCGCTCTCTGCCAACTCCTGCCGAGCTGTTTGAAGACGCCTTGCCTTCAGGCCACAGAGATAGGAAAATGTAGTGTCGGCAACTTCCGGGTAGCTGCCGTTGAGAAATCTTGGCGGAAGTACTCTTTCTAACTCATATAATCTCCCATGTAAAAATTATCGGGAGATCAAGGCTGAATCCAGCGGTCCGTTGAACACAGAAGCCTTGCGCTTCATTGACTTGCATGCAGACATGGTGCACTTTAAAATGTTTTCTGCTTCCAAAATTTTATTTTTAAGAATTCCCCTCAAATGTGGCATGCATAGGTTTGCGGATTCTTTCCGTTTCTGAGTGGAGAAGCTGCTGCCAAAAAAATAAAAAATCCTGGAAAAACCAGCTCCAAGACATTCTGAGCACTGCAGCTATCTACTCAAAGCGACGTCCCAGTGATTTCAACAGGTTTGCTCCCAAATGGGTACGCAGAAGATCGCATCCTAAAAGATCAGAAAACTGAGCCCTCTCTACATTTTGTTCTCTATGGCCCAAAGCTTAGCCGTTGAAGAGGACTGGCTGAGCGGAAATCTCCCCGAGGCATTTTAACCCGGGAACAATGTAATCTCGCGAGAGAAACCCCCGCCACTTCCTTGTTATCCTGCCGCCTCGATTTCCCATAACACCCCGCGCTCGCCCGGCCGCCTTCCTTTTTCCGCCATATTGCTGCACTGGTGAGTAGCGGGTGATGGCCGTTCCTGGGTGGCATCCGTCGTATATCGAACCCATCCTGTCTCCTTGGGCCGCTGTCGACCCGGTTCCTGGAAGCTGGGGCTCCGCTCGACCTGCGCAGCTTATTTGGAGATGACCGCGCTTCTCCTGGTCCTCGCGGCGGCCGCCTGAACGGAGCCGGGGGGGGGAGAGCGGTTGGGAGAGGAATGCCTTGGTCTGGGGCTTTGAGTGGAGGAAGGGCTGGGCTGGCGGGCTGTGCCTGACCGGGGAGGCCTTGACCGGCAGGCAGAAGGTGCCTTGCTGGACGAAGAACGCCGGGCACGGCTGCGTGTTCACGCGCTCGGGCTGCAACTTACTTTACATGCGTGTAAGCCCCAGGGCACGTAGTGGAGCTTCCATGTGCCCCTCGTGGTTGCATTTTAGGTCCTCGCGAGGCATGGGCGCCTGCACCAGCTTGGGCGGGGGTGGCTTGCAGGCTGCTGCGATATAGCTGGCCGACATGGGTGGCATTCAGCTCCGGGTCGTCCCGGATCCCGGGATCGCTGGATGCTTCACTGGGGCAGCAAAGTTTGGGGCCCTCAGCTTCTCATGCATTCCAGTTGCTGGAGCGGGTAGTTTGCCTTACCAAGTGCTTACAATATAACTCTTTCCTTTTGGGGATCGTTGGCTTCGGGAAAGTATTGCACTCACGAGCTAATGTTAAAACTTGTAAGCGTTGGGGGGACACACAAAAGCCCATCTCTTGTGGCATTCTTACTGCAGATACATTAGAGCTGCTTGCTGTGTTAATAATTCAAAGAGTTGCTGTGCAGGTCTTGCTTGATCACACCAAAGTTGTGAAGTCCAGTGCCCTGTTTCTCAGAGATGCTTCTGGGATGGTCACAAGCAGGTCTTGAGGGCAATGGGCCTCCCTCACTTTGACTCCCCAGCAACTGGCATTCAATAGTGCCTCTGAACATTGTTGCTCCTTGTCCTTAACATGAATATATGACTTTGTTCAAGGTGTCAAAATATGATAATTGTTTTAACCCAAATTAAGGAATCCTGGCAATGTCTGTGTTTTTCTGGCTAAGGAATATAATTCTTCAGGGCTTTGCTTGGACTAGAACCCCAGAGGCAGTATAAGACTTCTTTTCTGAAAATGCAAAGTATAATATATGTGTCCCTTTGAGTACAAAGGGACTCTCCTCTTCACCCCCATGTAGTCATGGCAACTACATAATCTGTTAAAGGTCTTTCTAGGGGGAAATGTGACTTAAAAACACAGACTTTGAAGATATGCCCAATCTAGGCTCTGTGCCTTGATGCAGGGTAGCTTAATGTAGTCCCAATGAGTGCCTGATAATTGCGCACAAAAAAGCTATTACAGTCTCCCAAAACCATCTTGTTTCATGCATAAGCAGCTCTTAAATTTTGAAGTGTTTGTGTGTGCTGCACTGGGGGGCATGTGTGTATGAACAGCACTGGGCAAATACTCTCCTGATTGCAACTCCTAAGTAAGAGTAGCCTTCAGAGCATCCAACCTGGGCAGTTCTTATGAATTGGAGGCAATTAATCCTTTTTGTGTTTAAACTTCTACTGTACCAGATGTAACTCTGTAAGCATTTGAGCTTAGTACCTTGTGAACTTGTTTGCAAGGCTGCGCTGAATCTACACTTTTTTATGATTTTGGGTTGTTAGAGCTCTTTGAAAAGAATTCAACAGTTGCAGTTATTTTTTTCTGGAAATACACACAATGTAGTGCCCTTGCAATTCAGTACTTGCTACTTATTCACTGTGACAGTCACCCCTTTCTGTAGGCAGTTACTGAGGCTATTACATCAACTTACTACCCTTATCCAAAACTTAAGAGCAGAATTGTTCTTAACTTGCTTTGTCTTGGGAATTAAAGCTTGTAGCTTTAACTGGCCAGTGAACTAAACGATTTATTTGCAATTGGAGTGGCCACACCGTAACAGCAGATAATACATGCTGTTTGTTATCTATGGTGTAATATCCTTACATTTGTTTAGAAAGTGTGTTTTGATTACTCTTTTAATGAGCTCCCTATGTTTTGTGCTGCTTCCAACATCCCGACGCAATCCAGCGAGCCACCATTTGAAGAAAGAAAACTGATACATGTTAGCAATTGGGCTTATCATTTAAATTTGTGTATTTTATCCATGCAGGCATCATGGTGCGCATGAACGTTCTGGCAGATGCTCTAAAAAGCATCAACAATGCTGAGAAGCGTGGAAAACGTCAAGTACTCATCAGACCATGCTCGAAAGTTATTGTCCGGTTCTTAACCGTGATGATGAAGCATGGTAAGTCCACAGTCCAGGAAAGATTCAGCTTTTTGGCCTTTTAAACTCTGATACCACCTTGGCTGGGAAAGCTGCCAGTGAATATATTATATTCAAAGTTATATGTGGGTATAGGTTGAAACTGGGCTTAATTACTTAAAAGTTTTGTTTGAAGATGACTGTGGTTGAAGCAGCGTACTTGGGGTTGGGGGCAGTGAAAATGGTCAGCTCACCATAAGCCAAGTAACTTGTTCCTTCAAATTGTACAGTGCAAGTAGTACTTTAACCTGTGCTTCGTCCTTCCTCCAGGGGGTTCAGGGACCATCCATTTTTGTTCTCATCATTAGTTGATTGTTTAGCCAAGAAGGCTCTGTCCTTACATGTACATACTCTGTAAAACAAAACAAGCAGCAATACAGTGGTACCTCGTGTTACGTACCATCCCCCTTACGAATGCTGAGGGTTATTCACTCCGCTAACCCAGAAGTAGATGCCCCTTGTTGCGACCTTTGCTCCAGGATGTGAGCGGAAGTTGCGCTCCGGCGGTGCTGCAGCAGCGGGAGGTGCCATTAGAGAAAGTGCGTCTCATGTTATGAGCAGTTTCCTGTTATGAACGGATTATGTATGTAACGCGAGGTACCGCTGTACTAAATGAAATAGCGAAGTATGCTGATATATATGATAGCATGCACAATAGCCTGAAAAACCTATGGTAATCCTTGTATTAACATGCAGTATTCGATTTTATAAAATGGCTTCCAGTTTTGTTTTTGCAAATTGAACTAGTATCTGCTATGCCACACTGGCTCATATATCCCACCCTCATAGTCAAGCAGTTCAGTTAACGGGGAGGAATGGGTTGCATTAGTTCTATTTCAATGGTGCAAAGATTTGAATATGCTGAGTGCTGTTCTTTGGTTCACAGGTTACATAGGTGAATTTGAGATCATTGACGATCACAGAGCTGGGAAGATTGTCGTTAATCTCACAGGCAGACTCAACAAGGTAGGACCTGACTTCCATTTAAGCCCCACTGGACTTAATGCCAGAATTACATCTTGGAAGATATACTTGTTGGGTGCATCTTAAGTTCACCGCACTTCACAGGAAAATTCACCCTTTGTGGGTTGGAATAAAGGGAAGGTGGGTTATGTATTTAGGCAAAATTTCCTTTAGTCCTAGGGCCAGTTCAGACCAATGTGTTTTGTTCATATTATTGTATGCCTGACCAAACGGGAACTTTTGTTATAAGCAAGTGGCTTTAAGAGGTCCTTGATGGGAATGGCTTGAAAAGAAGCAGCTGTGAATCCTGGAGCTTTAAGGAATATCATTGCAAGGTCCTCTGGTCCTTTGAATGTTCTGCAACAGCCGCTGTGCTGGTTCACTTGAGTTGACAACATTGTACTTTAAAACTGGCAATCGGAAGACATCTACTCTGCTTGTCTTAAAAATCCTTGGAGAACAGCCTTTAGGGTGCCACCTAAGTGGCTGTCATCAATGGATCCTCTTCTTTCTCCTTGACCTCTTTGAAATCAATCTTGGGAAGCCTCTTCCGATCAACCTATGGTTCCTGGTTCACCGTCTGGCATCTCTGGGTGCAGATGGCAAGGACTCCTTGCCTGAAACACTAGAGAGCTGGTTCTAGTCAGTGAAGAGACTTTTGAACTCTTTGAACCCAGACATCTGATAAGGCAGACTCTTACTTTACTACTGTATTTGTATAATTTTGTTTCTAACTAGATTTCTACGTTATTGAATTGAGATGCGCATTAATGCATTCACATTGCCAGTGATTCTTGGGCTTTTATTTTCTCAGTTTTTAATTTTTCCTGAGATTGGAGTTTATTTTCTTCTACTTACCTAGTATTGTGACTGCTTGGTCAAATGTAAATAGGCCCAGAACTGAAAATAGATGGTAAACTGATATATTCAGATCTGTTAGGGCATAGCATCTTACAGCTGCACCTTTGAAATGGGTTGTATTTATATTTTCTTCTCCATGCCACTTTTAGATACCAAATTTTCAATGTGTGTATTGTGTTCTGGATATTGCAAGTTTTAAGAGTATTGTTACAGGGCGGTATATATTGTTATACTTTTAAAAGAGTATTGCGATAGTTTTCAGAACATGTTTTTTCTGTCTTTGTTTTCAAAATATTTGACTTGATTGTTAGTTACAGGCTGATATTACAAATTCAGGATGAAATTATATAACTATTCATACCCAAGTTCTGAATCATTTCTTTCATAGGAGACATTACAAAACCATGGTTAGAACAGAATATCACAAAATTGTGTGTGTGCTTTTGAGGCCTCCAGAGCCTGTCTTCTTTCCTGTTGAAATAAATGATTTCAAATTTCTTATTAGAAGTAATAAGAAAAATGGCGGTAGCTGTTTGACTTCATTTAGAAAATTCACAAGACCTTCATTGGGACCAACTGAAAATCACAAAATAGGCAAAATAAAGCAGAAATGGAGTAGCCCTGTGCCAGCAACATTTTCCTCTTCCCACCTTCTCCTTTTTTGCTTTCTTTAACATCTTGTCAGAGGAAGAATTTGGTCCCACAGAACTCAAAAGCGCACCATTTTTGTGACTTGTCAGTTGGTCCTAATGCAAGCACAACACTACTTCAGTAATCAAGTGGAAAGCTATAGTGGGGCAAGAGAGCTGAAAATAATGATAATATTCACATCTGGCAGCCAATGCGCCCCTCTGGTTTCAGATAGTACACAGGTAGACAAGTCGAAAAAGCCTGAGAAACAATTTTTCACAGTCCTCTAGCGGCTACGGTGGCTCATTTACCATAAGTAATGTATTTAGTGTTAACTCTACAGTGGTAGCTCGGGTTACAAACTTAATTCGTTCCGGAGGTCTGTTCTTAACCTGAAACTGTTCTTAACCTGAGGCTCACGGTGCCTGCTGTGCTGCTAGTGCGCAGAGTTCTCAACCCAAGGTGCTACTTCCGTGTTAGCAGAGTTTGTAACCTGAAGTGTTTGTAACCCGAAGTGTTTGTAACCTGAGGTACCACTGTACTTTATTCTGACCAAACTAAGCCTCAAAGGATGCGGCTGTCTGGCCCTTGCTGCTAGTACAGCAGTCAAACATCTCCCTTCCATCCTCCTCAAATTCGGCAATGGGGAGGAGGCAAAATCACTTCTTAGCTGCCGCATCAATCCTCGCCCATCTCTGCTGCTTCAAAAGTTGTGAAGAAGGCTACTTGCTTGTCACACTCCACAGAAGGCAATTTGCATATAATACGCAACCCTAGTGTAGTTGAAGACTGGCATGTACCTCTGCCTCTTGGCAGAAATGTTGGCATTTCTGTCAGCCCTGTCAAAGCTGCATAATGCCAAGGTTTCTGTTGTGACAAAGCCAGTGTTTGCATTTGACATGTTCTTGTTCAACTCCTGTACGTTGGTGTGAGGCAGCGCTTCAATTTATTTATTTTGTTATCTGTATTTATAGTGCACCGTTCGCCAAATGGTCGCTGGGTGGGTTGCAAAATATAACAATTAAGAACAGTGTGTTATTAAAATTGTAAAATAAAACGCAGTTATCAGAATAACAAAAGTAGCACAGAACTGCAGCACACAGCAGAGTAGGAGGAGGGAAGATGCGCACTCATCCAAAGGCTTAGGTAAAGAAATGTGTCTCAGCCTATCATCAAAACGCATTGTTCCACGAACCGCCCTGAGACCTTCAGGTATAGGGCGGTATATAAATTTAATTGATGGTGGTGATAATATTGACAATATGGGCTTCAGAAGGGAGGTCTTTTCACTAGCTGGGGGCCACCACAGAGAAGAGCCTCTCTTGCCACCATCACCCCTCGGCCATCTATGCTGCCTTCTATCATGTAACTCATCATGTAAATCCATTTCTATGCTGCCTTCCATCATGCAACTCAGATGTGTTCTAGGCAGGGTTCCCAGTTTGTCTCCCATTCAGACACTGCTTAACTCAAGCAAGATGGTTTCATCCTGTTCCTAACTGACAGTGCCATCTGGATCCTGTTCAGGATTATATGAACTGGCTATAAATCACAGCCCCTGAACCCACAAACATTTCTTGTTGTTCCCAGGCACTTTCCCCTGGTTCCACTTCCTGTTGAATTGGGTAGCACATCAAATTTATTGAAAATACTTTAATGCCACATCCTTCAGTTCAATGACTTTTGAACTTTGCAAGTAATACATTAGAAATATGGTTAAGTCTTTCCCCCTTTGTTTGGCTTGATAGTGTGGTGTGATCAGCCCCAGATTTGATGTCCAACTGAAGGATTTGGAAAAGTGGCAGAACAACCTGCTACCTTCACGTCAGTTTGGGTAAGTATCAGCTGTGTAGAACTGGATTGCCAAAGCTTGTGATTAGGGCTGCTTCATTGCTGTGCGTTTTACTTTAGCTATTGCTCCTTGGTGCTAGATTCATATTGCAAGATAAGCGCATGCCGAATAGCGTTGAGTCTATTCATAATTTTGGATCAAAAGGCTGAACTACTACTAGCACTTAACCTGCTAACTCTGGCACATTAGCTTTTGCTTTCGGTAGAATCAGTGGGTTGTATGCAACTAATTGTGCAAGGTTCCCCTCACTCATCTCCCCCATAGCAGCTCTGGGAGTTCCCCCTAACTTTCTGGAGCAGATTTGTTGTTGGGAAAGAGGGAGGAGAAGTTCCTTGGTGCTTATGGAAGTTGTTTTGCATGCATGATGATCTAGCTGGATTAAGCAGTTTTGCATTTAGTTTTTGTGGTAGTACATTTTTCTAATGTGCTGCCTGTTAAAGATGAGGTTAAATTCTTCTTTCTGCTTTTGCAAATGGGTAAGAAATCAAGCATAAAGCATAACGGGTATTTTCCTCACCCTTTTAATAGGTACATTGTGCTGACAACTTCAGCTGGCATCATGGACCACGAGGAAGCTAGGCGAAAACACACAGGAGGAAAAATCCTGGGATTCTTTTTCTAAACTTGTAAAAAGAGGCAAACTAATAAATTGTTCAAATAGACTCTTTTCGGCTTGCATGTTAAAGTCAATCCTTGTTCCATTGCCCTAGTATATAATGCTATTCAGGTAATAGTAAATTTTACATTGTTGTGTAAAGTGAGCAACAGCCTCAGGTGCGGGCACCTTTGCTGGCTCAGGTTATCTTCTCGATCGTGCTGCTTTATACAGGATAAACTGAACACATATGTCTATGCACACGTATATCTATGCACCAGAAATTAACAGAAGAGTAGTCTACAACGCAGAAGTAAGTGTGAGACTTGGTTTCTAGAAGTTTGGGGCAATTGCTGGTCTTAATCCATCAACAGCAGTTACAAGAGAGCAGGACGTTACTAGTAAGGAGCGGAGCAGAAAAGCACATCAGTAGTCAGTATTGTATGCTGAGCAGTTGCTTATGTGCACTGGCAAATGGTTGTCTGTATGGACAGACATTGGCATTAATGCAGTGCTCAAAAGATTAGTGCTTTGACCAGATGTATAAAGGACAGGACAGACAGGCTAAAGTAATGAGAACCACATATCTTGAGAGCAGTTCACACAGTGATCTGTTGTGCAGACTGTAGGTTTATGGGATGCATATGTGAATCTTGGGGCTTATGCATATTTTGCTTCCACCGTCAGATAGTGGGAGAGACGCTTAAAATTCCCTGTTCATGCTTACAGAAGTTTCAAAATGGATAAAAGAATTTAAATAAGGAACTTAATATATTTTAAATAAGAAACCAACTCTTTAAATCTGAAAGTGCAGGAGAGTTTCTCCAGTTTAGTGGCTGCCACAGAGAATGCCTTGCCCCATGTAGGTTGGATGCAATCTCACTAATCAATAACTTCGGAAGTGCTGTGTTGTGGTGGATAACGAAATTAAGCAAATCTTCCCTTTGTGTTGTATAGAGGCAAATTCATTAAGTCTTAAAAGTAATCCTATAGGGGTTTTCTGAATAGCTGACAGCCATTCAGACAACTAGCCTTTTCTTTGCTTTGGACATTTGCAGCTTCCCGTTTTGCAGGGAGCCTTATTTTGTATATTCATGATCAGCAGTGAAGACACTGTGTGCTTGCAGAACGTTGGTAAACTGAAGTCATCCTCCACCCTTTTCCCCATTTGTGCCCATTTTTTAAAAGGGTTGGATTTTGTTGGCCAGCCAAGGACTCCCAGATCTCATTCATTTGATGCATCCATATCACAGGACTTCATGTTTATCCGCCTCTAATGAATATGGAAAGAATTGTGCGGTTGGCCAATTTTACAGTAGAGTTGCCAGTCATGCCTATTATTGTTCCTTATCGCACTCCCTCTGCCTCTCCTATGTTGGAACGCAGCCACTACCTTCAGAGTATCTTCTTGCCCTTGAGTCTTCAAGCTTTTGGAAAGCCTCTGGCTGACTGCCCATCCTCCTGGTCCCATTCTCTCTTTCTGACTCCTAAAAACACCCAACTGATTATCCTCCAGAATTTCTTGCTTTGCATCTAGGAGCAAAAAACCCAGAGTTCCACCTTAAAGAGTGAACAAATGGATTATGGTGCAGTCATTTGGGAACTAAGGCCCAGTCCATCAGATGCACAAAGCCTTTTATGGTTTTAATTCTGTGTTTTGCACTTCCCTGAAGCATTTTATTGTAGTATTTGTGTCACTTAGAAGGCAATTGATATCAGTTTTGTTAGAGATGCTTATTAGTACTGTCTTCATTACTGGGAGGGCAGAGAGGCTATCAAAATTGAAATGATGTTAACATAAGAAGAGACATGCTGGATGAGGCCAATGGCCCATTTAGTCCAGCATCCTGTTGCTGCAATGGCCACCCTGATGTGTAGGAAACTCACAAGATGGACCTGAGCAGAAGAATACTACTACTGCAGTTTAGAGAAACTGTGGCTCCTAGAAGCTGTCGGCGTGTGACAGCAGCCACGGACCACAAAACAGCTTCAAATGGATGGCTAAACCAGGTGAGGGTATCTGATGGGTCTCAGTCCTTCCATGAGTTAGGGACTTCCTCTGCATGTGAAGGCAGACTCTGATGGATTGAGCAGATGAGACGAATGGTGGATCCAATGGTCAAAAAGGCAGTTTCTGCACATGCTGTAGAGGGAAGTGGGGGGCAGATGGGGCTTTGTCAACCTGGGAAGAAGAAGGAGAAGCAAACACTGATCCTAAAGCTCTGCTGCCTTAAAGCTGTACTGATTTGTGAGAAAGCCTTCAGCAGTAAACCCTGAAGAAAAATCTCCATGCTGCCTTGTGGGACATCTTTGGGAGAAGATGTTTGTTGCTTGGTCCCAACCTTCCGTCCGTGACACAAAAGGAAAATGGTTTGGAAGGGAGGAGGGAATAAGCAAAACTCAGCCATATAATATTTAAGTGCACAATTGAACAAAAATATATTGTCAGATTAATCTGGAAACGGGAGGAGCTAACTTTTGGGTGCACACATTCAAAATGACAGACTAATTTGCCTGTCCCTACACTGAATCGCTAATAAATTTCCTTTCTCAAATATATACTTCATTTGAGCTTTTAATTAAATGGCTCTACTCCATTTTGATTAGACTTGTCCAGAGAGATAAATCATTCACCAAAGTATCTACCCTGAAAGAGTTTGCTCATTTGCCCTGGATTCTGTACCTACTACAGGAAATCCCTGTCTGTTTCCCCTCTCCTTTAAAATCATTCTCTTAATTTAACTCATGGCTGTTAAATTACTGGCGACTGAAGACATACGGCCCATAATTTAAATTTTCTTCATTCTTGCCTCAGTAATAGGACTGGTGTGCCATACTTCTTCATGGAATTCTTGTGTTGAAAATGCATAAAATGGAAAACAAATGAGTTAATATGTGCCTTCTACTCAGAAGCAAGTCCCATAGAGCGCATCAGGCCTCTCTATTATGCACCCTTATTTAGGGTTGTGCAGTTTTAAGAACTAAACACGGAACCTTCCCTGGAGTTCAAATGAGGTTTGGCATTTCCATTTTGTGTTTGGCACAGTTTAATCTCCGCCTCTGTTCCTCATTTAAGCAAGGCACGGGAACGAGCAAAGGAAAGGCGATATGCAAATATTGCTGGCATCTAAAATGTCTTGAAAATGCTATCTTGCAAATGAGCATGGTTTGGAAATTGACATCAAGTTAGGTGCAGCGAGCCTATGGCTATTTCTGAGTACTTTTGGATGGAGCAGGGTACTGGCAATAGCAAATACGCTTCTTTCTTGAAACACAGTACAAAGGGAAAAGGAGATGTGCTATCTCTTATTCCAAATGGCGGAAATGGTAGAGGAATGGATCTAAAACCCAAATGAATTTGCATTTTCCTCTCTTCTGCATTTCAACAAGCGTGGATATTGAAATTCAGCTATTTTTACTTTTATTCAGTTGTACTGGGATGACCAAAATTCTGATCAGCATCCCCCAAAATGACTGAAAATCAAAGTTGTTTGCAGATGAGGGCTGATCTACGATTCATTGTCTGCCAGTCCATAGAGACTCCACCACAGCCCAGGTTGGGTGGGATGCTTCAGGGACCAAATATGGCGCCAGTCCCTGGCACATTAGTTTGTTGTTGTTGTCGTTTTTTAAAAAATGCCAGTCCACCACATTAAGTAGCTTGAGAAACTATGGCCTAAAAATATGATACATGGGTCAGAATTAAAAAAACGATTGAAAAATAATGTGCAGGTCAGAATCCTGAAAAATAACTGAAAATGTGGCATGTGAGCTAGGATTCTAGAAAAAAAATCACCAAAAATTTGACCTGTAGGTGAGGATTCCCCAAAACAACTGAAAACAACAATCACAGGGTAGGATCACAGTTACCAAAACCTTGATCAAGAAGACAGGCAAAAACCACCTGAGTGCATTTTGAGGGAGCTTAAGCCACGGATCATTTTATCAGATCCTGACTTGAAAAACTGGTGGTTTTTCAACTTTTTGATCTTTTGAGTCCTCCATCCAGCAGGTGGAGGAGGCTGGAGAGAAAACCGGAATTAGTTGGCAGCTCTTCTTATTGGCTTTGGATCCTATTGATTTTGGTCTCCCTGCCTTCTGGACCACCAGTCCCAAAGGGCACCAACTATCATTCAGCTTAATCTCGTACTTCTGAAGGTGCCACGAGACTTGTGTTGCTTTTTGGATTGGGTACTTTGATTCGAACCTGACGCTCCTCTATACCAGCTCCCTCTTGCACCAGTCAGCCATCAAGTGTGTTAGGTGAGCTGGGTTTCTGGTAAGATGGCAGATATGTAAGAAGTGAGCTCCCTGCTCTAAACATCTAAGGATCCCCTGGCCAGCAACCACTTGGTCTTTCTTGTGGGGTGGAAATAGACAAGACTAGGTTGGCTGCCCTAAATGCAGTGGAGAAGAGTAGAAAAAGAATCTATGTTTAAAATCTTCCTCTTGTCAGTGGCGGACCTACATTTTGGGGGCCCTGAATTTCAGAACTGTCACGGGGCCCCTTTGCAACCAGCATCAAGGTCTGGGTAGCCACTGATACCTTTTTCAATGAGGTAGTTCCGTGACAGATCACCACACCTTTACAGCATCTGTGTTACTGACTCAAGTTTGAGGATGGTTGAAATGTATACAACAAAAAATTAATCATGCGACTCAAATTTGCTCTACTAGACCCAACATTTTAAAGCAATGTGGACTAAATTCATTTCCAGGGCCGCTCTGGGATTAGGGGCCCTGAAGCTTAAGCTTCATTAGTTTCATTGTAGATCATCCCCGACTCCCATACATTTTTAAAATTTATAGTTCTATAACAGTTATAGTTTGTGGCTGGAGGAGAGGGAGGCTGGCCTAGGATCTTTGACATGAGGCTTCAGAGCGGAGCAGGGAGTTCCCCTATCTCACATCTACCTCAGTACCCTAATATGGGCTTAACTTTTTGTGGCGGCCATCAGCAGCCCTATTTATTCCCTGCCATTTGAAAATCATGTTTCTATACTTGTTTCTAGATGCGGGTGGCGCTGTGGGTTAAACCACAGAGCCTAGGACTTGCTGATCAGAAGGTTGGC